GCAGGGGTGGATGGGAGTGGGAGGAAGGGGTGCAGGGGGTACATGAGGAGGAGGATGGAAGTTGGCAGTCACTTTGAGTGTGGAGGGAATGGGAGATTAAGAGGATGGATGAGGGATAGATAAGTTTTGTTTTTGGTCATAATTAGAAAGTTTTAAATGCCTTTAAAAGTATCTGAAAGGGAGTGGGGAGGTCTGAGAAACAATGGTCTTCTTATGAGGGGGAGAGGAAGAGGTATGTGTAGGAGAGTAAACTGTAGAAGACAGGGTGAAATGTTTAGATTGTCTGATGTCATAGGTCGTGCAAGGAGGAGGTGGGGAGATTGGGTTGTCTGGATTCAGAATGGCAAAAGAATTTGACAGGGAGAGGAAGGGGATACAAGTGGGCACCTTAGGGATGAGAGGAAGAGATACTGGACGTGGAAACAGCTTGGGGAGAAGGGGAAGGGCATAGCTAAGGATAGCATTGGAGTAGAGAGCAAGAGACAAACGTCATCAGCATGCTTCTTGCCTGGCTTTGCATAAAGTACGACAAAGTTTAAATCTAAGGACTGTTACCTCATTCTTAAACTTATTGGTAGGTCAGTCCCTATAAAATACATTATGTGAGCTATTGTAATTGGCATATGTGTGTAATTGCACAGGGCAGTTTGAACAATCATGACAAGGTTGGGCATATAAAAGGCATCGGGCTGTGGAGTGGCAGGGTGACCAAAACAGCAACAATTCTGACATTGACGGGTGAGGGCTTGGTATGGTCAGACAGGGCAGGACTCTCCCCCAATATTAACTTCCTGAGGGAGGTCGTGTTTACGAAAGGTAATTTTAGCAATATTGGTGGAGGACTTATGGTGGCCTCTGGGGGAATACAGGGTTCTTGCAGGTGTAAGCTGATGAAATTATAGACCTTTTTTATGTTTTTTAAGACATGCAAATTGTTTTTTACGAAATGGAGCCACTTGTCACTGAATTCACACTTCCGCATAATGTGTAAATCTACTTATGGTGTCTGGAACCAAGATAAAAAATTCACCCAGACATGATTATTACACTGCCTCTCAGCCATATTGTGTGCTAAAATGATTTTCTTGCACATGGCCTATAGGTAAACAGTTGATCAGCAAAGGTCAAGTTCTAATTTACATGAACAAAGATGCACCTTGGGGAAATTTAAAGGTCAAGTTCTAATTTACATGAACAAAGATGCACCTTGGGGAAATTTAAGACATTTTAAGACCTGCATCAGAAAAATCTCCATCTTTTAAAGACTTTTGAAGGTGTTCAATAAAAAAAAAAAAAAAAAAAAAAGACTTTTTAAGGATGAGCAGGAACCCTAAAATAGTGTAGCACTTAACTCATACTACATCATAGTCACTGAGGCAGGTAGGCTGGTCATTTTGAACAGTCTTTGGCATAGACAAAGCAATCAGCTGAGGAGGTGGTAAAAGATACAGTACAGGTGTTAAGGGAGGAGTGAGGCTAGGCACAAAAAGGTTTGCCAGTGAGGTTAGTCAGGGTAGATAATGCTTGAGCCTAGGTCACAGATGTAACTGTAACAAGTTGGGAATAATTGGAATGGCTGCAAAAGGAAACTTTGCCTACTTGCTTTTGGAGACATTGTTGGAAGAGGAGGGTACTGTCAGAGTATGGGGCTGTAGGGGGAATCATGAATCAATCAATCCTACTTAGCTAAGAAGATTACTGAAAAGATTTGTTGTGGTGGAAGTACTTGAAAGATGAGGACGGGAAAAAGAGGGAGTGGTGTTGAATGAGGTAGTACTCCAGGGAAATGGACAATATGGATGAGTAGTAATAAGGAAGGAAGGGGTAAAAAATGCAGACTGTGGAGGAGGTGATGGAGTAGAGGAAGTTACACATTACACTACAAGCGCCTTCACAAACACCAACACTGCCACTTACACCCTAATCCTTTCCCCCATCCCTAGCATCCAACCACAAATATACGTAATATGCGCTTATCAGCACCCTGCGGATTATTTATTGAGATCGAGTGACTGAATGCACCAAGCATAAAACAGGTATTGAGGAGGGGGTATTAGTAACAGTGATCAAAGTTATGATCAAAGGAAAGCCAGGGGTAACAAAATGTTACTTTTTGTTATTTTTATTGCACTGAGTTATGGATTTTTTTTTTTTTATTCCATTTTTTACAATGGATGTTCTTTTGCTGTGACATGCTGTCTGCTTTATTTTCTTCTAAATCTCCCCCTGTGTGCAAGGAATGGCCTGGTTACCATCCAGTAGCAGCACGCAGGATCGAACACAGGTCAGCAAGACTGACAGACAAGAATGCTAACCATTGCACCACACAGCCATACCTACCTGGCAATTTTACATCAAATATGGTAGTAGCATAAGCTCTATCCTTATTACAAATGGTAGAAGTCTATCCTTTGTGTAGTGTGGAGACTGGTTATCACTTCACACTAATATGCTGCTAGATTTAACACAGGAAGTTTCAAATGGATCCTCACGAAACATGGCAAATGTATCCTCACTAAGAGTAAAAGTAAAAGTTTATAGGAGGACTGCATTCCTCAGAGACTAACAGCCACATTGTTTTAAGAAGTTAAGGGACTATTTATTTGCCTGTTTAGGATCCTGTTGAGAAGGACAGTACTCCAGTATGCCATTTTCCCTGTCCCTCACACTTAATCCTTTCATATACCATGAGCATTGTTGGAATATTGAGGGATTAAGCAAAGGGAAGCAGTATGTGAATTCTTCTCTTATCATTTTCATTTATAGTGTCTTTAGAATTCTGTATAACTTGACTGCAGAATGCTTGAATATAAACACAAGGTAGCAGAAAACCAAGTAAAAAGATTAAATAGGCAATTTTCTCTCGATACACACTGTGCATCAATAACCCACCAAAATCTACATATTTTTCAAGTTTTGGTTTATCTTTATTAATCAATGAATTAACCCTTTACTGCAGAATTAAATTTCAAGAGCATTTCCCCAAGGATATCAATTATCCACCCAAAAATAAAATAGATGTGTCATGCTTCTGCAATATATTTTCAATATCTATCAGTACTGTTTTCATATTCACCATTAAAATTCCTTGATTTTGGCTCTGTAAAGTAACATTTGGTGAAATATGTGAAATAATTAAGAAAATCTGCATAATTTTTTTTCTTTTATAAGGATAATTAAAAAAAGAGAACTAATGAGAATTTTTGGAAATATTCATCTGGGGTAAGGCTCTTAGCCAGCATGTGCTGGGTCCACGAGAGGTGGCACAAAGTTTGGAAGTTAGTAAGGGTGTGTTAGCATAGGAAGTTTTTTCAGAGCCATAGGGTTAATTTGCTTTCTACCTTTAATAGTAATCATAATCTGGTCATAAAATCATATTGTAGTAATCATCAAAGGTAATTCTTTACAGTACAGACACACTTGCCAGAGTAAGTCCCCAACTCCACTTCTCAAAACCTATACATCAATTCAGTTGCTGCAACTTTTACCTTTACGATATTTTACCTTCATTTGTAGCTTTATTGTTCGTATCTGCAGATTATTTCTTGTACTGATGACTGCAACTTTTTGTCTTCTATATGAATATAATATTCAATTTTCCCTAACTTAGTGCACCGATGCCATATAGATTAAACTCATGAAATAAGAAACAGGTGGGAGAAATTTATTGGCCTTGACCTGTGTACAGTAAGCATTGGAGCCATGATGTGCCTGTTTAACAAAAGCATGTGATGTTCAATCCTATTTGATTATATATTTTTTTCATATCTGTCCCTAAATACTGTAAATACTATACTAATACTGTATAATATGTGAAACTTCAGTTTAGTAGTATTAACCAGGAACAATTACACAAGATATGTAATTTTTTTTTTCTTTTTTTTTTTACAAATTCTGTCAAGATTGCCAATTACTCAAGGAAAGGGGAGAGTCTGAAGTATCTGCTTCAGAGTATGGAAATATTAGGGTTACATTTATAGAGTTTTGATAATACAGCTGTATGTCCTCAACTCAAACCAACAGATGGTTTGCATTTACCATTTGACTGGTATCTGTTATCTCTTTGGAGAGTGGCTGTGAGAGTAAGTACCCAACTTCATTATGCAACTTTTTCAACATTTTATGTTGCCGTGAGTGGGTGTATGACTACTTGAGGGGAGGATTGATATGGGGCTCAACCACCAAGCACCTCGGTATGCATGGTAAGATAGAACTGAAACCCGAGAGCACCAAGTGAACTTAGGCTGTGAACTGCATTTTCCGCCTTCTTTTTCTTAAATTGGTAATTTTACAGCTTACGTCTGCAGATTGGACATCGACGATTTTGGTATCGTTGGATTCCTCTCACTCTATACAATGCAAATATGTAGGTTTTATTGCGTGGAAATCCCCTAAGAGCGACAAATTTGGCCCCAATAGCAGGGGAGGGCATGAAAGGTTCCAGGGAAAATGCGGGGTTAAATAACACTTAACAATATAACCCACAATGAAAATAACGATGATAATTCACATTATTTTCCATTGCAGAGAGCTGTGCCCTCTTTGACCCCCAATCCCATGCCAAGGAAACAAAGCATCCACCACATATTCACAGCAGGATAGAGCGTTACACAATTATAATGCTATTGTAACTTTCCCACTGAAGCAGCATACTAACCTTGACATAGTCAGCAATGTATACTGAGACAATTGTAGTATAATCAGGATGAACAGGGTATACCATGAACAGAAGAGTGGTGGTGGCCCACTCTCCTCAGCAGGATTTGCGCAGCTCTCGAGGTTACACTGATAGCCTCGGATGATGGAGTGGAATGATATATGTACACTAGTAAGACGTATATTAGAGTCAGCCAATAGATGGCAGTTATTTTTCCATATAGTTACTGAAGTGACTATGTCGCCATCTATTACATAAGAACGTCGCCTCAAGATCAAGTTTCCCATCCTCTGGAACCACTAGATCCGTGTTTCTAACCAAAATAATATAGTATAATTTCCGTTCTTCTGGAAGTAATGAGATACGCTTTCAAAACATGTATGGTACGCACCTGCATGCCATCGTCGTGTTCAGTACTCCGCCATAGCTGCCATGATGGCCGAATGTGGAGGGTACCCCTACTCGGAAACAGACTTTATGCACAAGGTCGCCACCAGCCGATGTGCTTTCGCCACAGCCTTCTCCATCAGGGAAAAGCCTGTGAGCCTACAGCATCTATCAATTAGGTTAGTGCCATAAAAATCCTAGGTTATATAATAGGTTAAGCGCTCCGCATCTAGTTTGTGTGCACTTTATCCTGCCGTGAATATGTGGTGGATGCTTTGTTGGGGGGTTAGGGGGCGGCAGCCCCCTCAGGGGGGTCACAGGGGGTGCAGCCCCCTGCAATGGAGAGTAATGTGAATTATCATCGTTACTACTGTGGGTTATATTTTTAGTGTTATGTAATCCCGCATTTTCCCTGGAACCTTTCATGCCCTCCCCTGCTATTGGGCCCAAGTTTGTCGCTATAGGGGGTTTCCGTGTAATAAAAACAGTCAATATGCATAACAGGGTAGGGGCTTACTTTCAAAACAATTTTGATATTTATCTGCAGGAAATCCACTGATTTCAACAATTCTGGATGTTGTTTCTTGTGCAAATGCTTCATTGATGAGATGTGAGTACCACTTCCATCGACAATCTTAATCTGTTAGTCCCGTTAGTAGGGGAGGGCATGAAGTATATCAGGGAAATTATGGGGTAAAACAGGCTTCAATAAGAATAGCAAACAAAAAAGCATAAAACTAGCACAAAAAATGCTAAAAATGAAACTCTATGGACATGCCCGCCATCTATGAAAGTCTACACACCGACGTGCCAAAATTTGAAAAACTCTACGGGAACCCAACCCATCTATCTGCAAAATCTACAGGAATTCACACCTTCCAAACAGAAAAAAACATCCTAACCCATAACCTAACCTAACCTACCAATATACAGTACCGTGACTAGGCGTGCAATTCGGGCACTGCCCAAGGGGATGGTTGATGGGGGGCAAGTCCCCCAACATCCCCTGGGACACATTCTCTTCACCTCGTATATACAGCAAGACAGAGCTACACCCCCATACTGTAAACAATAAACCAAACACCTTTAAACATCGAAAGACCGAACAATCAATTTTCCTTCACTTGTTTCGGTCGGTCCAACATTCGGTCTATTATGGATCGCTTTGTTTTTATCGCTTTTTTCAGGCTTTGGGGTACTTGATGGCCTTAGAAATCTAACTGCCATAGTTATTAAGGTCTTTTTCTTCTTCGTTGCCACTTTATAGTCTTAAGAATATTGCAGAATCGATGCAACACTGAAAACCAAACATTTCTTACTGGCTCTCTGTCACCGTCTGCCCGCGAATCCTTCTGTCAAAACTGGCTGCGAGAAATGTGTAACTGCGCTTGCGCAGAAGATTCTTCAGACCAATTCCCGTTAAAACCTGTACAATCAATCTTAAAACATGTAAATGAGGTATAAGAAACATTAATAAAGGCCTTTGAAAGCATAAATATGGAACAGCAGACACTGATGATTAGCAATATAACATTCTGACAATCGTGCAGCAATACATGCACTAATCTCCACAGCGCAGTAATCGGTTGTGCGTTCAGTCCAATGTTTCCTTTCGTCATGAAAAGATGATGGACTTTGGCAAAATTGGGCCCTTAACTCTGTTCATTTACTTATAGCACCTTTGGGAAGTATTTGCATAAATATTGCCATAGAAGAAAAGTGTCTTGGTTTGTATCGGTCTATCGATTTATATAGGTTTTTTCTCCCAACTCAGGCACTACCTTATACTGCATATTGTCCATAAAAACTATATTTGCATTGTGGACAGTGCTAGGAATCCAACGATACCAAAATTGTTGATGTCCGATCAGTGGTCATAAGCTGTAAAATTATCCTTAAATTTGTGGCACTGCCATTTGTGTCTTCTGTTTATTTTTTATACTGACATCATCTTTAATTTGCTCTTGCTTTGAGTGTCCATAATGTAAGGATTATTCAAGTTCCATTTATAACATGAGGTTATCTACATATTTGCTGACCAGTCTTGTTTTCTTCTTCAATTTCTGATTTAAAATAAATTAGTTTCCTTTTAATAGGTTCACATGCAAAACAATACAATACCTCTATTCAACATAATTACCACCAACACCCCCAAGGTGACCAGAAATACAACTTCCCTACCATAGAATCTGTTACTGGAACTGTCAACTGAATGTAATAGTGGCACATTAATCACCACAACCCCTCCTATTTCTACAAACACTACAGTCACAAATATACCAAATCACGTACTTCGGCTAGCTTTTCGCCTCCCTGAAAAACGTAGGAAACTGCTTCCATGTGAATGAAGTCGAACATTGCCTCCTCTGCCATCGCGAAGGTACGTCGCCTCCCCGTTTGTTGACGGGCGCTTACGCTCACGAACCGAGGCGCGCGACTCGATGGTTGTGCCGGGAGTGAATGCTTTCTTTGCGGAATTGGTGATGTTGGCCCTTTAGCTAAACCACATATAGTGTAACTGAGCGTAACTGAAGACCAATAAAACTGAGAAAGGGACTAAATCTTACCCGCAGTAAATAACTTTCCCACACCTTATATATATGTATATATATGTATGTATGTATGTTTACATAAATAAATAAATGAATGAATATATATATATGTATGTATGTATGTATGTATATATCACTTTGTTTAATACGAATCCAAAACAAATGGACGATTTATGAAATACGTGTAAATTGTATTGAGTGTTGTCGGTTTGCAGATCCAGGGGAAAGTCATAACTAAAGTGGTTTTATTTAATCTTACTCGCTACTCCTATTCAATATAGATGGCAATCACTGAATCGGCGACAGACAACCTGTGCTTTAACATTTATTGCAGTCTCCCTGATATATATTCCAAATTACTGAGAACTCTCATTCATTCTGCAGTAATCTAGTTAGGTGACATTAGGATTATAATCAGTTGATATACAAAAGAATCTTTTTACCGCTTAATATAAAGAAAAAATACGTCTGATAGTAGAAGAAAAAAAAGTAGCGAAATAAATAATTCGTACTTTTGGTCTTCGTGGGAATATAATGAAATTAAATATATTGTGGTGTATCACAGTAAAAAATAATATAAAATGAAAACCCTTCATAGCCACTATCGACATCCTTTTAACACTGCACAGATATGAGATTCTCAGAAAACACATCCCTATTTGACATTTCACAGCAGATCGAGACCAATTCAACTAAACGGATACAAATGGAATAATTCGCAGGCGCTCGACCTTGATAACAGAACACCAAACGTACCTTTGATTGACATACATGAACGTCTCTTGGGAATTACACGAGCTTTATAACTTGTAATTTGATTACATTAATCCAGAATGAGTTATTAATAACGTCATTATCCAATACCATTCCTCAGGGTGGTCAAATACTAACAAATAAAACCACAGTCTCACCCTGACGACCTTGGCAACAGGGAAGTTAAACGTACATGCATCACATATCACACAGCATCAGACTAACATCCATTACTATTAACCCGAGTGCATAACCCACTATTAAATCAAACTCCATTATAAACCAATCAAGAGAGTCTGTTAGTGTGTGTGGTTGTGTATGTGTGTCTGTGTGCGTGTCTGAGTTGTTTGTGTGTTAATGTGTTTGTTGTTTATATGTTCGTACACATACGTATGCTTACGTTCGTTTGTATGTATCTGTGTGTCACTGTGTACATGTACTGTACGTTTGTATGCCCGTGTGTGTGTGTATGTTTGTGTGCGTAGCGGCGGCCTCGAGACGGCGGTGTTGTTAGTGTAAGCGACGGACACTACACTCATCCTACACACACAGTGACTCATCCTGATTCATCCCTGAGTCGTCCCCGAGACAGGTGAGTGAGTGTTCCTTCGTGAGCACCAGACGACCTCAAGGCCTGCTCCTCCTGCGCCACTCGACACCTCGGCCCCTGCGGCTCGAGGACGACCCTCTGAGCGTGGAAAAGGCTGGTCGTGGCTTCAAGGATGGACGCGGGGTTGGCATTGGGTATGATAATTGTGCTAGCGAGGCCAAATATAAGGCTAAGAACAGTGTAAGGGTAGGAACAGTGTGAGGACTGGCAGAGCGACATAAGGGTAAAGGGGAGGACGAGGGCGTGAAGTAGGAAGTGTGAGGCGAAAAGTCGAAAGATATTGAGGGACACCGTGTAAATGAGGAGCGGGACGGGTTTATCGCTAGCTTATATGATGAGGATGGAATATTTCTTGTGTGATTTGGAGAATCCCGGTTTTTTAAGAATATGGAAGCAATTTTGAATTATGTTTTTGGAAAAGGGTCCCCAAGGTTTGGAAAAGTTGAGGCTGTCATTTATATTCTTCATTTTTTTGTAGGCAAAACTTACATGGCATTTTAAATGTTTTAATTAATGAACAAAGTGGTGAGAACCTGAAAGTATCTATTAATTTTTAAAATGAATTTACAGGCCCAGAAGGAACATGTGTAAGGAGGCTGTCAAAAATCAGAAGTATTTGATCATAATGTTTATGCTTTGATAATAAGGAAATATTGTATATTACACAAAGTTTTTTCTATTGCATCAGTGTTTAATGACATATAGTCTTTTCAACTGTATATTGAGCATCTGTAGTTTATGCTTAAGTACCATGATAATAACATTATTAGACATCATATAATTGATAAGTTAATTCTTTTGTTTATATTAATTGCTTAGCACCAGTTACTATATTCATAAATTCTGTCATTCCATTTATGATTATTACTATTCAGAAGACATAATGTTATCATCAGTTACAATTTGTTTTATCACATCTCAGTAAAGCATTTTATTAAGAATATCTAATGACCAGTAAATACTGTGTGAATTGTTCAGGATTTTCTCAACTGTTCATTTATCGTTACCACATAAAACAAAATTGTTAAACAATGAAAACTATTCCTTCCACTATCTTGAGCAAGAGTTTATGGAGGTAATATAAAATGACAAGGCCTGTATAGGTCTACTAGTTTTCCTACATAAATTGCCACTTTCTCTCTCTCTCTCTCTCCCTCCCTCTGTCTCTCTCTCTCTCTCTCTCTCTTCTCCTCTCCTCTCTCTCTCTCTCTCTCTCTCTCTCTCTCTCTCTCTCTCTCTCTCTCTCTCTCTCTCCTCTCCCTTCCCTCTCCTCTCCCTCTCCTCTCCTCTCCCTCTCCTCTCTCCTCTCCCTCTCTCTCCTCTCCTCTCCCTCTCCTCTCTCCCTCTCTCCCTCTCCTCTTCTCTCTCCCTCTCCTCTCTCTCTCTCCCTCCCTCTCCCTCTCCCTCTCTCTCTCGCTCTCCTCTCCTCTCTCTTCTCCCTACCTCTCCCTCTCGCTCTACCTCTCCTCTCCTCTCCCTCTCTCTCTTCTCTCTCTTTCTCTCCCTCCTCCCTCACCTCCCCCCCTCTCTCTCTCTTTCTCTCTTTCTCTCTCTCTCCTCTCTATCTTCTCTCTTTTCTCTCTCTCTTTCTTTTCTCTCTC